TTTGGGGGGGGGGGGGGGAGTAATTTATTCGATCGCGTGATTGGCTCGACTAAAATTTGCTACCTCTGAATGGTGTATGTGTGTGTGTGTGTGTGTGTGTCTCCCCCGGTGGTGTGCTCCTATACGGCTTTACGCAAGTTACTAAGAGGGAGCGGACCGTGAGTTGAGGAAATCGGAGGACGCGACCCACTTCGCCACAGACGGTCCCGCGCCTCGCCGCTATGACGGGGACACACCCCGCACCGTCCGCTGTGTCCCCGTCTTTGTCCGGAGTGAAAAGTCCAACGCGCTCGTCGGTGACGGCTTCCTCCAACCTGCGCCGCGCTCGGCGAACCTCGACAGCGCCTTCGATGGCATGCAGCTCTTTGCGACAGAAGCCTGGAGAGCAGCTCCTCTGCTGCTCACATACTCTGCACAGTTGACACAGCCTACTGCGCGGCTGCCACAGCTGTCACAGCGATGGGCTCGCCCTCACTGGCCCTCAGTCACTTGTGCTGCGGCTTGTGTGAGCGACACTGCTCGGCGACTGCCGGCACACTGTGAGACCATGGGTGTGAGGTAAAACCACGCTACCAGCGCTTGGTCACATCGGCCCCGAGGTCAGATCCTTCTACTCTGTTAGTGACAAGACTTGTCTACTGGCTGGAGCCGAGCAGGAGGGCCAGGCGCACAACCCCTGGTCAACTCACGGTCCACACCCCGTATACGGCTTACGGGCCGGGCCGGAACGCACCCCCCAGCCGCCCCACCTCCCGCAGAGCTGGCGTGGCAGGGGTCAGGCAGACCTCGAGTCAGGCCGGAGCTGTCGCCTGGGGTGCGTTGTTCGTTTTCGGGCATGCATCGCTGCGGTGCTGTTATTGATAGAAGAAAATACCTTCAATGGGTGCGTTGTTCACCCGAATGGGCTAGACGAGCGGCCTACCTCCAACGGGCTGTCGCAATACTAGAGTGGAGGTCTACGTAAGCCGAAGTAGGCCACCACTGTGCATCTTATTACTAGTCGAAGCAGCATTCGTCGAACGCAGCAGCGGTCGCATGTGCGGCCGGCGC